ATATATATATATATATATGTATATATATATATATAAAAGAGAAAAAATATATATATATAATTTTCTCTTTTATCTCCTTTTCTATTTCTGTGTTCCTTATTTACATGTAGTCTTATACAGGGCTGTAAAAATACTAAAAACAACAAGATTGATAGAAACTATGATTATTAGATCCTTTTACAAAGAATCAGTTTTAGAAAAACCTATTCACACAAAATCCTCTTTTATACTTCGCGATATCTACATGAACAAAATCATTGCATCACATTGTAACTTTGCATCGATGAAAAATATCTACAATTTTTAAACTGCGTGTGTATAGTTGTTAATTATATAATATACAATTTTATTGTGATTTTACAATATAAATGGAACAGAGTCTGGAAATTATTTCGATCATTCAGAAAAGTCATATTTTTCTTTTGAGGCACCAGGAATATTCGAACGTAACCTGGTCCATGGCACAGAACTTTTAAAGAGATCTCAATTGGCTCTCTGGTAACACAATGACGTATATGGCTAAGAATTGAGAATGGTTAAAAGAGAAGAATAAAACTGCCATAATTTTCATGAGAACGTACAAAAAACTTCGAATGCTTATGCACATGCACACAGTATTAAAAATTCTTTGATTGAAGCACTTTGGCACGGATAAACTGCTGTTATATTAAGCGTCATCCTGTGTTTTCCATAAATAACAAAAAATCTAATTGCCATAACTTTATCAGATAGTTTGATTTTATTGTATTTGCATCTTCAATTTATGGTAAAAGAATTTACTATTCTTGATTAATTTTTCTTTTTTATATCACAGGAAAGCACGAGAGTGCTTTTAGTCAGCATGCAAATGAAAGAAGCATGTGCCGCCGAAAGCCAAAGAACACTTTTCACATTTTATATACCCTCTCCTCTTTTTCTACCGTCTCTAATATACAAATTAAAATCTAAGAAGTAAAATTTACATTCGATCATTTGTATATTACATCAATTAAATAAGGGCAAATCTTACGCACTTGTACGTCAGTAGTAGAGATTCAAGTTCATTTATATGTCGCAATAAATAAATAATTAAATAATTTTTGAGTAATAATAGAGATCCGCTTAACTTTTTCTCTTCTATGTTGGATTCATTTTTTTTCCTTTTTACGTAACCATCGCCTCACGTTCTATAATAACTATTAATATTACACACGATACTTTTTAAAATGTACGCATAGTTATCGTCGTAATAATTAGAGCTCGTTACCACTACAGACAGTCAGATCACTGAAACTGCAGAAATCACATAACAATAGCGTTATCATTTGTGATACATCAGCGATGCCTCTGTAATTATTTCACAAAACGTCATTATTCATTTAGCCGCCATTATTGGTGGAACACCGACATTGGTAGCAAGGCATCTTCGTTACGTTTTCTCGTAGTTTTATACGCGCTTCTGTACTTTTTCTCTCGATAACTATAAATATTGTATGTATATATATATATATATATTATATATAGTATCTATTTACACTTTCTTTTTTAAATAACGCTTTTTTCTGTTAGCAAAATATCAGCACCAAACTCCGAGTATTAACTGGATGGGGTGCTCAAAAGGTCGGACCGTCAGTGCGTTCGCTCGCAGAAACCGAGGACGCCGAAACAAAGTATCATCGGGACTGTGATCCATCTTCTTTCTTGTGAATATCCGCGTGCATGAGGGCGTTTTCGAGCGGACGTGTCGGTACTCCTGGACCAGGTCCTGCTCTATGATGCATATGCAAGTTGCTGAGCGGACCTGGACTAGGGTCCTTACTCCTGAGTGTATTCACCGGCGGTGGAGGATAGCCGGCGTACAGTTTTGCTCGTTCCTCTTCTTCAGCTCTGAACGCCGCCACTAACGGATTATATCGTAACTGTTGCAGCGTATCGAACCGGTATTCCCGGAAAGGATCGCCCGGCCAAGGGGCTCCCGGTTGACCGGCAGGCGCAGTTGGTGGTGGAAAATGCTGCATCGGATGTGCGCTTAAATTGGGAAGCATGCTACGTGGCATAGAATGCGAAGTTGGCATACCGTGTGGATGCCTCGTAAGATAAGCATGTGGATGCGGGTGATATCTCGGATCGGGCAGTGGATTTGGTCCTGGCGCAGGCCCCGTCGTTCCGGGACCGGGTACTGGCGGTCGGGGAAGCATTACAACCTCGTCGTCTTTACTGCGTGGTTCTTCCTTTACGCGCACTTCCCCAGTATCCAAAGGCGCCGAACCATTCCTGAGCGGCGAACGATCTCGGGATGTAACCACATGTTGTCGATTCTGATGAAGTAGTCTCTCGCGCTCCATCTCACGTCTTTCCCTCTCACTCCCTCTCCCGTTCTCTTTCGCGTCTGATACGCTCGCGTTCCCGTTCGGCACGTTCACGCTCTCGTTCGCGTTCTCTTTCCCGTTCACGCTCGCGCTCCCGTTCTTCTAGTTCGGCGCGCCTGTCTATCGCAGGAGGTTCCGGTTTCAATCCCCACGAAACAGTAGTCTGTGGAAATCCAGTACTAGCGCGTTGCAATCTGAAATTAGACACATAAGTTAGTAAAACATACATTTACAGTAGAAAAAAGGTAATGATCTGATAGTTGATTAATATTTCATGTACATACCCTCGCCATGGATCGTGTACTGAACCAAGTGCACCTAGAGGAGGCATTTCTCTTGGCGGAAAAGTTGAAAGGTTTGGAAAATTAGGATTCGGCGCGCCGAACGTTGAAGGATATCTTCCAAAGGGAGATAATCCTGCTCCTGTAATATAAGAAAAGATAACAATGATGCAAACATTGATAATCATAATGCAGTTCAATGTATGTATTTACAAACATGAACGTGCGCATTTGAGAATAAATGTGAATCTTTGTTACCTCTATTACCTAAATGTGAGGCCGTTGTAGAAAGAAAACCGACAGGATGTGGTGGAGGTGGTGCAGGATGGGCAGATGGTATATTAGTGGAAAACGGAGGTGCCATTGATGGTGCACCGAGTCCAAGACCACTGGCTGGTCCCCCGGAATAAAGATGGGTCGGTGGTCTTAATAACTCAGTTTTGGTACTAACGACACTTCCCGCTTTAGCTTCAGCCTGTTGCTTTTGTTGATGATTATATATCTCCCACGCAATACGTACATGCATCGCATTCCACTTTCCACTTTTCTGGATTAAAAGATTAAATAAATATGTACAATATGAGAAAAAATACTTACTTTTAATATAAACTTTAAATAAAAATACCTTTGGCGCAAACGGAGTCAAGTGATTAGGGGGCACAAAAGGTGTCGAAGGCGGTCCAATTCCAGGATGAAGAAGGCCAGTGTTAAAACCGGAATAACCAGAAAGGTTTAAGTTTCCACGAAAAAATGGTGATTCGACTCCTCCCAATTTTGGGATGTCCTTAAACTATTAAAAGATAGTTTCGTTTAACGTCACTTTATGTGTACGGATGAGTTTATGATGAGTATTACGATCAGATATAATTAGTTATGATAGATATAATAAATGTATAGTCTCATTGGTCAATAGATATATTTTTTACTTACAATTGGAGGTGGAAAAAGTGAAGATGTTGCAGCTGGTAGCAACGGTGTCGTGTGCTGATGTACATGCGTGTGTTGATGTTGATGATGATGCATTTCCGTTCGAAGATACGCTGGACCCAAATTCCCCACTCCAACACCAACATTTCTGTCTTGAGATGCTAAGAACCTATTATCGAGTTCTCTCCTCAGAAGATCAGCCTGACCTGCAACATGTGTCACCCCTTCTTTTGGTTAGTGCATTTATTATCTGCTCATATTCACATAAAACATAATATATCAAAAAAGTTAGATTGTAAGTTTACTTGTTTGGAACAGAGACTCTGCAGAAAACGGATTGGGATTGGTCGTCGGTGGGGGAAGCGAGGGCAGTGAAGTATGGGGGCTTGAGCTAGACACTGGCGGCGGTAAAGGCGTTGCGAACATCGGTGGTGGAAATGTATGTGGTATGCCGAGTGGTACCGGTGGTGGAGTTGGCCTCGGAACAGATGTAGCTGTCGCTGGAGACAACTGAGGAGCTGTGTTGCTGCTGTTTTTTAAATAAAAGATTTTTTATACTATTTTTTGTTTGATTTTTATTGAAAAATTTTATTGAAAAATTTTATTGAAATTTTTATTGAAAATTTATTTGATTTTTATTAAACTTGTTCGGGCTTACCTAATCCAACTTTGTGGCTTGGTATATGTAGGTAGACTAGAATTGGCTGGTGAGGAGGTGTTTGGCACACTAACAGGCGTTATGCTGCCCCGACTTAGACTACTCACGTTACTGCTGTAACAAATATACAATTATTATTAAAATTTTCTGTTAATTGTTGAATTACTCAAATCTGACAAGCGCGACAGTCTGTTCGCGTTGCTTGCACTTTTTGCAATTCAAATCTTCGCTTTCTCTCTCTTTAATGCTCGAATATATTTATCTCGTTTTAAGTACAAAATTTTTTCAGAATTTCAAGCAACGCGAACAGACCTCGTAATGCTGCAACCTGAAGAAAATATTTTACCTGTAACTATCCCTTTCCCGACTGGGGCTATGTCCACGTGGAGAGTTATTATTTCGTCCGGATAGACTGCAGGCCACCATGTCTCTATGAGCGATAGTATTTGCCGTGGTAACTGTATTAGTTATAGTGGATACGCATGTTGTGGTGGCGGCACTCAGTGGAGTATTATTGTGACTCACGAGATTACTTCCTATAGTCTGTTTACTTATGTTGGTACAGGGGGAAGCTCTACTCCCTCTCTAAAATATAATTATTACCGTCGTTATGAACACTCGTATTTTGTACTTGAGATAAGTAATATCAGTGATATAATTGAATACGTCAGCAATGTACGATACAATACGAGTAACTTACCACATCAGCGCGCGATGAAGCAGAATGAGAAGGGGATGGTACCGCAGGCGGAAGATATGGACTGTGATTTAGTGCAGTGTACGGGGTGTAGAGCGGTGGATACGATGGTTGTGTCTGAGGATACGCGGCTATAGGAATGGGAGGTGGATAACTCGTGGTGGCCGCTCCGTTCGATGGTGCTGCTGGCGTAACACCTAAACTGGCTACCGCTGGACTAGTTGTATGACTCGAGACGAGGGGCCCAATAGGTGGATGTAATGCAGGTATCGTAGTGTGCGGTTGCTGAGATAGGGAGGGTGGAGGCAGAGCGGGGGAAGCTGGCCGCTGTTGCGGAGCTATTGCACGTGGATTCGCTGCCAAAGGACTAGTCATCTGGAATGTAATATCAACAACAAATGTTATCCCGTTCTCTATGAAAAAAGATTAAGTTTATATAACACAATAACTTACAGAAGGCTGGGATATGTGTGGAGGCAACGTGGGGCTAGGAGGACTCGGCGCTGTTGGAACTGGTGCAGACGCAGGCACAGGAGGTGGTATAGGTGCCGGAGCATTCGTTGCTGGATTAGAAGTTTGACCACCCGTGTCCGGTGGAGATCCACCTGCCCCGTTTGTGGGTGGTAAAACGTGTGGCGAAGAAGATGGCAATTCGTCTAGAAACGAAAAGGAAAGATCAGAAATATATGCACAGAAGTAATAGTAATAATGTTATACTTTCAAAAGACGATTATTTATATAAATATGTACATTTCCCATTTCTGAAAGTATTACTTACATTTACGTGTGAGAGGTGGTGAGGTAGAAGATTCAAAGAGTATAGATTCGGCATCCGAGCCCTGTAACATAAAAACAATGAAAATTATTGAAGCTGATCGATTATTTTCTTCAAGCTAGTAGAGTATCTCAATGTGACAGACAATGTGCATACCTTATCGTCTTCTCCTTCACTATCACACTGAAACGAAGAAATAATAAATTAATATATCATATTTATTACGATAATATAGAAATACAATTTATAATTAAAACTCAAAATGTAAAGCTACAAACCATACTAGATATTTAATGCTTTTTAACGGATATCACCTCCATCAATTTTAAATAACGATCAACATGGATTTATTTGGATAGAGCCTCCACTAACTGCAGGAAATGACAAATATGGATTAATTTCTGATACAAGAGCGAGAATTATAATGCAATTTTTATTATTTGTGGTATCTTTAAATTTTGTTTGTAAACACTGAGAAAAATGCGATTGGTGTCGAAACATCTGTTTTAGAAATTGTTTTGAAATTGTGATTTATGATTTATAAAAATCTTAGCTTTAAATATCTAGCTTGATTCGTAGTCTTATGGTTTTGATTTTTAATTTTAAATTATTTGAACCAGTTATTGTGTTGAAATTATAATTTAGAATTTTCTGTATATTGATTATAAATATAGATACTTACGATATAACCTTTACCCGAACTGCAATGACTGCTAGCCTGTATTGCAAACATGAACTCATGAATAAAAGCATTAAAAGTACTGATCAATTTTCTAACTTTTCATTACTTATTTCGTAAAAAAATTAATATTGATGTATATATGGTAAATATATTTTTATCTTAGTTACACAGAAGTTAGTCAGAAAGTGAAGAAATATAATAATATGTTAATAAACAAAAATATTAACAAGACATTAGTCATATTTAAAATTAGAAAATAATTTATTACATAAATTTCAAGTTTTGAAATTGTCAACATTGAATGTACTAAATTACAAGTAGGATATGGAACTCACATCGCTGAGATGGTCCCTAGAACTGTCTGCGTCCTGGCAATCCCTAGGTATACCAGGGCCGTGCAACTGTTCAGACGCTCTGCCACTATCGTCGCTTGTACCTGCATCTAGGCCCTACAAGAGAAATTATCAATGTCACTGTCATTATATCATCTCTAATTGATATATGTCAGCAGGCTAGACACTTGACGCGATTTAACTAAGATTATTCAATTACCTGGTTTAGCGTCGAGGGTGTCAGTATGGAATTATGTGTGTAATGGTTGTGCTTGAAATTGTTTTTGATGTGGTGCTCGTTGTGCCTGTTATTCTGTCCAGTATCCAGCTTTGGTTTTTCGTCCACTATCGATAGCAATGTGTGTATTTTCTTGACATTATTTTTACCAGCTAACGTTATTGCACTCTGAAAACAAAGAAAAAGATATATGAAATAAAAATACTATAATATCTTGCATACATAAAAATATATGTATATGTATGTATGTGTACACACATAATCACAGCATATTTTGTATATTTTATATAAACAAATATGTTCTCTATTTCAAATTTGTATTGTATTTAATTTTATTGTTACATTGCTAACACTATGATGGTGTATAAACAACACTGTAAAAATATACGTCATCATACATTATAATTTCACATTTAGCAAGAAATCTCATTTTCATTATTGCGTTATCTTGTCACATAAAACGTCAAGGATAACCAGAACTGTAGAGACGTCGCCTTCACTTTTATCGAAATATCAGCACCATATTTATCAATCTGACAGCGTTAAATCACGTTGAAAATCAATTGACGGATATGAGAAAGATGCGCCCACCTGTGTTCACGAAAAGCGCAAAGTGTCGCCGCAATCGGAGC